TGTGTGTGTGTGTGTGTGTGTGTGTGTGTGTGTGTGTGTGTGTGTGTGTGTGTGTGTGTGTGTGTGTGTGTGTGTGTGTGTGTGTGTGTGTGTGTGTGTGTGTGTGTGTGTGTGTGTGTGTGTGTGTGTGTGTGTGTGTGTGTGTGTGTGTGTGTGTGTGTGTGTGTGTGTGTGTGTGTGTGTGTGTGTCGATTGTACATATAACTCAATTGAAAAAAGTAGTAATTTTAGAATATTACGTCAGTTCTATTGCTATTTTAAGAAGGAACATTTAGTTAAGCCAGAAATTACAGTAGACAGACGGATATATTTTATCAATCAATGGTCCCTATTTTTCTGATGCATCTAATAATGATGCAGCAATCTTACGGCAACAATTGGTTAATGATAATAATGAATTTAGAAACTGGATTACAGAAGGAGATATAGTAAAAGTAGATAGAGGCTATAGAGATGTTATTCCTAGATTAGAAGAACTTGGGTTAATTACTTATATGCCACCTTTGCTTCATCAAAACCAACGGCAATTATCAACAAGTGAAGCTAATAGAGCGAGAATAATAACTAAAACTCGTTGGGTTGTAGAAGCCAGAAATGGACATTTTAAATCCATTTTTAAATTTTTTAAAGGCCGCATATCCACGCATCATGCAGTTAATTTGAGTGGTTTTTATCAGATTGCAGGTGCGTTGTTAAATAAGTTTCATCCTCTTATAAACCTACCAGGTACAATGGACATAGCAGTTGAAATTTTAAACAAACTAGATGACGTTAATATTATACAAGCACGCGTCGAATCCCAAAATCTGACTACCAGAAATGGTCGGTGGCGATATCGATCTCCATAATTTTGTTTATTACATGATTTTTCTAAAATGGACTGTAATGGAAAAATTGGAGGAAAAGTGTTAAATTTAAATTTTTTAGTATTTTCGTTTTCAATGAATATCTATAGAAAAATGTTTAAAGTTATAGGTATGTATTTAGTTTATCCTCTAAACATTTTTAGAGGTGCTGCAATAGGTTGTATAAAATAACCGGAAAAAGCCTATAATAACAACTAGATAGGAAAATCATGTGTTGTTCTTAAAAAGAACCTTTTAATTTTAACTCAAGTTGTCTTTAGAAATATTTTATAAAAAGGAAAATTACCAAACGTTTAAACATTTAGCAGTTTCTAGATTTTTACTTTCCTATCTGTATACAGATATAAGGAAAGTATAGGAATCATGATTTTTTTCGACCTCGAGTTTTCGACAGATTTTTACGTTTTGAGGTCCCCTGAATCCGTTTTGACTATTTTCGCGATGATGTCTGTCTGTCTGTGTGTGTGTGTGTGTGTGTGTGTGTGTGTGTGTGTGTGTGTGTGTGTGTGTGTGTGTGTGTGTGTGTGTGTGTGTGTGTGTGTGTGTGTGTGTGTGTGTGTGTGTGTGTGTGTGTGTGTGTGTGTGTGTGTGTGTGTGTGTGTGTGTGTGTGTGTGTGTGTGTGTGTGTGTGTGTGTGTGTGTGTGTGTGTGTGTGTGTGTGTGTGTGTGTGTGTGTGTGTGTGTGTGTGTGTGTGTGTGTGTGTGTGTGTGTGTGTGTGTGTGTGTGTGTGTGTGTGTGTGTGTGTGTGTGTGTGTGTGTGTGTGTGTGTGTGTGTGTGTGTGTGTGTGTGTGTGTGTGTGTGTGTGTGTGTGTGTGTGTGTGTGTGTGTGTGTGTGTGTGTGTGTGTGTGTGTGTGTGTGTGTGTGTGTGTGTGTGTGTGTGTGTGTGTGTGTGTGTGTGTGTGTGTGTGTGTGTGTGTGTGTGTGTGTGTGTGTGTGTGTGTGTGTGTGTGTGTGTGTGTGTGTGTGTGTGTGTGTGTGTGTGTGTGTGTGTGTGTGTGTGTGTGTGTGTGTGTGTGTGTGTGTGTGTGTGTGTGTGTGTGTGTGTGTGTGTGTGTGTGTGTGTGTGTGTGTGTGTGTGTGTGTGTGTGTGTGTGTGTGTGTGTGTGTGTGTGTGTGTGTGTGTGTGTGTGTGTGTGTGTGTGTGTGTGTGTGTGTGTGTGTGTGTGTGTGTGTGTGTGTGTGTGTGTGTGTGTGTGTGTGTGTGTGTGTGTGTGTGTGTGTGTGTGTGTGTGTGTGTGTGTGTGTGTGTGTGTGTGTGTGTGTGTGTGTGTGTGTGTGTGTGTGTGTGTGTGTGTGTGTGTGTGTGTGTGTGTGTGTGTGTGTGTGTGTCTGTGTGTGTGTGTGTCTGTATAACGCATAACTCATGAACCGATACACAAAAAAACACCAAATTTTAAACTTAAGCTTTGTTTCCGCGTCCAATGAGCTGATTAGATTTTGGGCAGAGTCGGAACATCTGGGGGGGTACTTTATAGAGTCTCACATCAACAATTACAATATTTTACCAATCAGCCAATCTGGTTTCAGACGTGGTTACAGCTGTACTTCAGCATTATTAGAGGTCACTGATGATATCTTTAGGGATATAGACAAAGGGTATACAAACGTTTTAATACTTCTAGATTATACAAAAGCCTTTGATACAATTAACCATCAGCTTCTGTTCAGTATTCTTCACTATGTTGGTTTTTCGGTTAAAGCAACTGAATTTATTAAAAACTATCTACCCGCATCGCCATGTTTTAGATCAAAATATAAAAATACTTCTTTGTGATACTATGGTTCTCAGTCATTTTAATTACTGCGATGTCGTCTACGGGCCTTGTATTGACTATGTGGATATTAATCGTATTCAAAGAGTACAAAATTCTTGTCTTCGCTACATATATGGTATAAAAAAATACGAAAGGATAAGTCACAAACTAATTGAAACTAACTGGTTAAATATGGAAACTAGAAGGAATTTACACATGGTAACATTGTATCATAAGATCATTTCATTAAAGTCGCCTCCTTATCTCTATAATAAAATTACATTTCGAAGTGATGTGCATAATGTGCATACAAGGTTTAGAGGGCATATATCTCCACCTCTCCATCGTACCTCCAAATTTCAAGGTTCATTCTCTTATATGATATTTAAACTATATAACCTGGTTCCTCCTAAACTCAAACATCTTTCGACAAATATGTTTAAGCAAAAGTATAAACATCTCTTGATGTCAGAAAATATCTAGTCAAAACAACCATTAGATATTATAATAAAATGTAATATTACATTTATAAAATGTGTATTTATATTTTTGTCTCGATTGTGCCACACTTTATTCGTTGTATTTTATTATTTTAATATTTTTCTTTTCTTTATTAGGGATAGCAATTAATATCAGCTATGCTGTCTGCTATTCCCTTTTTGTAGTATTATACTATTTTGTTCGATAAAATTTATGTATTTAATGCAAATTTACCTGTAATACTGCAAATAAATTATTATTATTATTATTATTATTATTATTATTATTATTATTATTATTATTATTATTATTATTATTATTATTATTATTATTATTATTATTATTATTATTATTATTATTATTATTATTATTATTATTATTATTATTATTATTATTATTATTATTATTATTATTATTATTATTATTATTATTATTATTATTATTATTATTATTATTATTATTATTATTATTATTATTATTATTATTATTATTATTATTATTATTATTATTATTATTATTATTATTATTATTATTATTATTATTATTATTATTATTATTATTATTATTATTATTATTATTATTATTATTATTATTATTATTATTATTATTATTATTATTATTATTATTATTATTATTATTATTATTATTATTATTATTATTATTATTATTATTATTATTATTATTATTATTATTATTATTATTATTATTATTATTATTATTATTATTATTATTATTATTATTATTATTATTATTATTATTATTATTATTATTATTATTATTATTATTATTATTATTATTATTATTATTATTATTATTATTATTATTATTATTATTATTATTATTATTATTATTATTATTATTATTATTATTATTATTATTATTATTATTATTATTATTATTATTATTATTATTATTATTATTATTATTATTATTATTATTATTATTATTATTATTATTATTATTATTATTATTATTATTATTATTATTATTATTATTATTATTATTATTATTATTATTATTATTATTATTATTATTATTATTATTATTATTATTATTATTATTATTATTATTATTATTATTATTATTATTATTATTATTATTATTATTATTATTATTATTATTATTATTATTATTATTATTATTATTATTATTATTATTATTATTATTATTATTATTATTATTATTATTATTATTATTATTATTATTATTATTATTATTATTATTATTATTATTATTATTATTATTATTATTATTATTATTATTATTATTATTATTATTATTACTAGAAGGATATTGGCCAGAAAGTCTAAAAATTAGTAAAGTTTTACCTTTGCATAAAAAGGGATGTGTAGATGATGCCAACAACTATAGGCCCATCGCTATAGTGCCCATAATAGGCAAAATATTTGAAATCATTATTAAAAATAAGCTCGTTGATTATTTAGAAAATAAAAAATTACTATCACCACATCAATTTGGGTTTAGAAAGAACAAATCCACAGTCAAGGCGATAGCTGCTTTAGTTGAAAATGTAGTTGAAGGTCTGGATGACGGTACAAGCACGTGTGCTACACTGTGTGACCTGTCTAAAGCATTCGATTGTGTAAACACGGAGTTACTGAAAAATAAATTAGAGTTTTATGGAATTAGGGACAAAACATTAGACCTGTTATCCTCATATTTAACTAATCGACAGCAATTTGTTAGCTATGATAACATCAGTTCCTCATTAGCACCGGTAACTAGAGGAGTGCCACAGGGCTCCGTATTGGGTCCTATCTTGTTTCTCATTTACATTAATGATTTGCCATATAATTTAGAACATTGTTCTACCATTATGTTTGCTGATGACACTACGATCCTAAATAGGGACATATTGGTGTCAAGTGATTTGTGTATGTCATCAGCGGAAGAGTGGTTTGCTACAAACCATTTAAAACTAAATGAAGAAAAAACGCAAAAAATGACTTTTACATCAAATAAAAACACCCACAAGATGGAACCAATCAAATCACTTGGTATTATTCTAGACGCAAACCTTAATTGGGGCCCTCATATCGATGCTACTACCGCAAAAATTTCGTCGCAAATATTTGCGTTAAGACAAATGCGACAGAGTCTTGATAAAACTGTATTAAAAATGGTTTACTATGCCCTAGTACATAGTCATTTGTCTTACGGGATTTTGTTATGGGGAAATAGCTGTAAGGCTAATAAATTATTTTTTCTTCAAAAAGCAGCTATCCGACTGATAGCAGATGTCGAATATAGGGAACCCTGTCACGACCTATTCAAAAGATATGAGATTCTGCCACTCCCATGTATCTACATATTAGAAACATTAAAAGAAATTCATCACAATATTAACAAATTTGAGACACATGCAGTGACTCACAATCACGACACGAGGAATGCGGAGAATCTCATACTGCCACGATCTAGAATACGTATTAGCCAAAACAATAAACTTAATGTAAACATTTATAATGTATTTGAAAATTGTTATAAGACTAAAAAAATTAAATTTATGTCACAAACAAAATTTCATAAGTTTGCTAAGGAGTTTCTCCTCAAATATTGTTTTTATAGTGTTTCCGATTATTTTAATTTTTTTAAATAGATGTATATATTAATTCTCTTATGTTCGTATTTTTAATAGTTGACATAACTTGTTTTAAAAAAAAAAATGTTTTATTTTCTTTTTTAATATGTTCTGATATTTAATATCTCTGACCAAATATTTTAATGTAAGCTTTAAATTTTGTATCTGTATTGTGTTTTTTATATTTATGACTTTGTATTGTATATTTTTATATTTATGACTTCAATGTACTCAATGTATGAAATGGTCAATAAACTACTACTACTACTACTACTACTACTACTACTACTACTACTACTATTATTATTATTATTATTATTATTATTATTATTATTATTATTATTATTATTATTATTATTATTATTATTATTATTATTATTATTATTATTATTATTATTATTATTATTATTATTATTATTATTATTATTATTATTATTATTATTATTATTATTATTATTATTATTATTATTATTATTATTATTATTATTATTATTATTATTATTATTATTATTATTATTATTATTATTATTATTATTATTATTATTATTATTATTATTATTATTATTATTATTATTATTATTATTATTATTATTATTATTATTATTATTATTATTATTATTATTATTATTATTATTATTATTATTATTATTATTATTATTATTATTATTATTATTATTATTATTATTATTATTATTATTATTATTATTATTATTATTATTATTATTATTATTATTATTATTATTATTATTATTATTATTATTATTATTATTATTATTATTATTATTATTATTATTATTATTATTATTATTATTATTATTATTATTATTATTATTATTATTATTATTATTATTATTATTATTATTATTATTATTATTATTATTATTATTATTATTATTATTATTATTATTATTATTATTATTATTATTATTATTATTATTATTATTATTATTATTATTATTATTATTATTATTATTATTATTATTATTATTATTATTATTATTATTATTATTATTATTATTATTATTATTATTATTATTATTATTATTATTATTATTATTATTATTATTATTATTATTATTATTATTATTATTATTATTATTATTATTATTATTATTATTATTATTATTATTATTATTATTATTATTATTATTATTATTATTATTATTATTATTATTATTATTATTATTATTATTATTATTATTATTATTATTATTATTATTATTATTATTATTATTATTATTATTATTATTATTATTATTATTATTATTATTATTATTATTATTATTATTATTATTATTATTATTATTATTATTATTATTATTATTATTATTATTATTATTATTATTATTATTATTATTATTATTATTATTATTATTATTATTATTATTATTATTATTATTATTATTATTATTATTATTATTATTATTATTATTATTATTATTATTATTATTATTATTATTATTATTATTATTATTATTATTATTATTATTATTATTATTATTATTATTATTATTATTATTATTATTATTATTATTATTATTATTATTATTATTATTATTATTATTATTATTATTATTATTATTATTATTATTATTATTATTATTATTATTATTATTATTATTATTATTATTATTATTATTATTATTATTATTATTATTATTATTATTATTATTATTATTATTATTATTATTATTATTATTATTATTATTATTATTATTATTATTATTATTATTATTATTATTATTATTATTATTATTATTATTATTATTATTATTATTATTATTATTATTATTATTATTATTATTATTATTATTATTATTATTATTATTATTATTATTATTATTATTATTATTATTATTATTATTATTATTATTATTATTATTATTATTATTATTATTATTATTATTATTATTATTATTATTATTATTATTATTATTATTATTATTATTATTATTATTATTATTATTATTATTATTATTATTATTATTATTATTATTATTATTATTATTATTATTATTATTATTATTATTATTATTATTATTATTATTATTATTATTATTATTATTATTATTATTATTATTATTATTATTATTATTATTATTATTATTATTATTATTATTATTATTATTATTATTATTATTATTATTATTATTATTATTATTATTATTATTATTATTATTATTATTATTATTATTATTATTATTATTATTATTATTATTATTATTATTATTATTATTATTATTATTATTATTATTATTATTATTATTATTATTATTATTATTATTATTATTATTATTATTATTATTATTATTATTATTATTATTATTATTATTATTATTATTATTATTATTATTATTATTATTATTATTATTATTATTATTATTATTATTATTATTATTATTATTATTATTATTATTATTATTATTATTATTATTATTATTATTATTATTATTATTATTATTATTATTATTATTATTATTATTATTATTATTATTATTATTATTATTATTATTATTATTATTATTATTATTATTATTATTATTATTATTATTATTATTATTATTATTATTATTATTATTATTATTATTATTATTATTATTATTATTATTATTATTATTATTATTATTATTATTATTATTATTATTATTATTATTATTATTATTATTATTATTATTATTATTATTATTATTATTATTATTATTATTATTATTATTATTATTATTATTATTATTATTATTATTATTATTATTATTATTATTATTATTATTATTATTATTATTATTATTATTATTATTATTATTATTATTATTATTATTATTATTATTATTATTATTATTATTATTATTATTATTATTATTATTATTATTATTATTATTATTATTATTATTATTATTATTATTATTATTATTATTATTATTATTATTATTATTATTATTATTATTATTATTATTATTATTATTATTATTATTATTATTATTATTATTATTATTATTATTATTATTATTATTATTATTATTATTATTATTATTATTATTATTATTATTATTATTATTATTATTATTATTATTATTATTATTATTATTATTATTATTATTATTATTATTATTATTATTATTATTATTATTATTATTATTATTATTATTAAGCAAAAAGATCTGACCATTCGCAATCAAGAAATTGCTATTAAAGCCCTCGACGAGCAAGTTCAACTATTAAAAGAGGTAATGGCGAAACCTAAACCTAATAATTTAAAGTCTCTCTCCGATACAGTTGTTACTACACAGAAGCATGGTAAACAATATCAACCACCTAATACAACCGAAACTAACAACTCCATCTCTAATTCTAATCTCTCCAGTGCTTTGCATTCTACTATCTCTCAGAATATCTGTAATGAAGTTATCAATTTAGGCAAGTCTAATACATCTGAGCAAAAACCCAAAAACAACAGAAGCATCCTTATAGGGACAGGATCAAACCCTACAAGCTGTCCCTTTAAGGCAGCTTCCCCAAGACTGGAATGTACGAAGAACATGAAAAGTTATCATGCCACAAACTTTGATCCAGCAACAGACCTTATGGAGCTCTCTGCATATTTGAAAGGTTTTGCCCCTAATGTGATAGTGGAAAAGCTCAATGCACGAATGCCGCAAAGTTACGCTTCTTTTAAAATCAATGTTCCAGATGACGAATCGCAGAACATTCTAGATAGTAATATATGGCCTAGTGAGGTTGTTCTTAATTTATTTCTCTACTCCAAGAGATTCCCAAGAAATACTGTATTTACCCGAAGTAGAAAGTAATAATGATAAGTTGCTATTTAAAAAATTTGAATGTTCAGTATTTTGTCTAAACGTTCAAAGTTTGTCCAATAAGATTAATGCTTTAAATATATTTCTTACTGAAAATCCTTATGATATTTTATGTGTATCAGAACACTGGTTAGATATTAACAGTCTAAGGGCCCTCAAACTCCCGTATTATAATTTAATCTCAGCTTACTGTCGTGAAACCAGAAAAGATCATGGGGGAGTGGCTATATATGCAAAAGAAAACCTAGAACTCCGCAGTGTTGATGTGACAAAATTCTGTAAGCCTGTCGATGCTGAATTTTGCGGAGTTGAACTTAAAAATATGAAATGTATCATAATAACCATTTACAGATCGTCCACCAATGGTGATATGTTTGTATTTACAAATTTATTCTCAGAATTAGTTGACCACTTGTGGCGTAATTACAAGAAAATCATTATTATGGGCGACTTTAATCTGAACCTTGACGATAACACTGAACATTCAAAATCCATTCGTAATATTCTCGCCATGTATGGACTCAGACATGTTGTTCACACCCCTACTAGGATAACTTTAACATCTGAATCGTGTTTAGATAATGTCATTATAAACTTGCAAGATGTAGATACGAAAGTAGGTGTTTGTGAACCGCTAATCTCCGACCATTCTGGAACTTTTTTATTTTTATTTTTTAAATCTGCTTCGGTGGAAAGCAATGTTTCTTATAAGAAAAGAATAATAAATAATTCTACTCTTACAAACTTTGCAAATCGCTTAAGTAACTATTGTTGGGATGATTACAAATTAGCTAGTTTAAATTCGAATGAATGTACAGATACTATCATTGATATACTAAAAACTTGCGCGGAAACATGCTTTCCACTGAGGTCTGTCTATTATAAGAATCACTGTATAAA